TTTCATCTGTCGTTTTTTTTTTTGGTGTCTTCGTCTTGAGCGCTCGACGAGAAAACGAAAATTTAGAACGGAATCTGTTTCAAGGTTTGGACCAGTTCGCGCGAACGCATATACACACGCACTCGCACTTTAAAAATACGTGAAATAAAAAAAAGAGTTCGCGAAAATTGCATTCGCAAAAAGAAAAAACGCAGTTGTCCGCGCTCGCTTCCGGTTCCGCGTTTCCTATAATTAATGATAATCTATATTTAAAGTTTGACATCTGTCAGCTGTAAAGTGTGCGCGCGCTTCTCGAACGCTCCTCCGTATTTATTATGTCAGCTTCGCGCTTCGTCCATCCATCCGTTTGTTTGTTTGTTTATTTTCATTTTCGGAGCGCGTTGACATTCCGAAGGCGGAATTCCGAAACGAAAACTTCAAAGTTTGACATCTGTCAAACAATCGTCGGGCTTGTATATTATCAACACGATCGCAATGTGCGCAACATTCATTGACACTACTCTCTATGTTTGTGTGAAATGTGTGTGTGTGTGTATATTCTCGAGGAACGATTGTTTGCGAATTCGTACGTCAATATTATTGCAATTGTTACATGCGATTATTGTTTTTTTGATTTCTCTTCTTTAGTTTATTTGGATAACTCGAATTCGATTTGTTTACGAACGATGCGTTCTTGACTAATGCCCCCTCTCACTTCCTCTCCCTTCTATTTCCGGTGTTCGCAATCAACTGTTTGTTTATTAAATTAAATTTTGGACAATAGATTTGACGTCTCATTCGATACGTCAAATCTGACACATAAAAGTTTAGTTGACAGATATGTCAAATTGCGACAGTGCTTCTGTCAAATTTGACTTATGTAATGTCGGGTTCCGCTACATCGACTGTTTGCATTTGCCGAAAAATCGAAAGCAAATCGAATTTGTTTGCTTTTGCGGATCTTTTTTTCTTCTTTCTTTTCGGGCGCGTTTATTTGAACTGGCCAGGCGTAAAAATAGAAATCCAATTTCACCTAATCCGCAATTTCGTCCGCGCCGAAAATAAATACGTGGTCGTCGTCGTCGTCTTCGTCGTCGGTGTTTGCGAAACGGCCGTTTTCCTCTTTCCGCCCCGGCAATCCGAAAGGCAAACAGACACTCCACTTAGCTGCGAGAGAAAAGAAATGAAATTGAGAAAAGGTTAATCTCCCTTTTTTTTTGGGTGTTGGTCAAGAGAAACAATTATAGTTGGTGAGCGGAAGACGTATCGATTGCACAGAGCCGGGCCCTTTTTCCACCCTATTCCTTTATTTTTTCGTGTGTGTTTTGTTTCGTTTTTGTTTTGTTTGTTGCGGGGGTGGCGCGTATGCAGGTGTATTGATCTTGCGGCGCGTTAGAGGGCGCCGCCCCCGCGTGCCGCCTGCGAGCAAGGGCGACCGCACCTTTCTTCGCTTTATCCTTCGCTGAATAATTGCATTATCTCTCTCTTTCTCTCTGTACCTTTCATATTCTCATCTCTGTTTTGTTTGTTTGTTTGTTGTTGTTGTTTCTTCTTCTTTTCTGGGACGACGTGTGACACTTCCGAAACGAATCCATTACGTGGGAACGGCGAAAAATCCCCGTCGCGTGCGATTCTTCCCATGATGCGAACGCAGAGATTTCGAAACAATGCCCGAAAACACGTCGGATCGGAGAAGAATGATATTGGGAATCCAGTTTGGCAACGCTCGCGCGCTTACAATCGAATTAAAATGTCATTGTCGATTCAATGGGTTTCTGCGCTCGTTTCTGAGGTTGCTTGCTTGCCACTACTTTCCAATTTGATTATTATAACACACACCATTATATTATGCTACTCGATGTGAATTTACTTACCAGTTGCCAAGTTGCGAGTCACGTATCGAGTGTGTGTCTGGTTTTTGATTAAAATTACTTGGCAAATATCGCGTTTCAAAATATTATGACATATCAAAATTTCGATATGTCAATAATATCTGACGTTTAGCCTTGGAACATGTGTATATGATTGCGATTCTATTGGTAATGATGTGTTGTTATCAAAATCAATTGAAAATGCACTCGGCTATTCAAATATTGTCCGGATGGGTGATTAGAGTACCCAATTTGCTTCAATTTCGGACGACACGAGTCGAACGGCACGTTTTAAGACCCCCCTTTGATGATGATCATCGCCATCGTCATCATCATGCTCTGATTGGTGTTAATGGGAAAGTAACGAGGCAAAGATTGAGCCAATCAATTGAAACGCGGTGAGGCTGATTGGCCGTGAATCACGTGTGTGTGTGTGTAAATGTCGTCCGAGAAAAACAAAAAAATTGAATCAATTGAGCAACATTAGCGTTCACCAAAAAATCCGGTGAAATCCGGACGTCGAGATCTCATATATATGTGTGTGTGCTTCATTATTATTTAGTATTGATGGGCCGTAAATCAATTAGCAGCAGCAGCAGCGTACGTTACGCTCGAGTCACTTTCGTTAAATTCGACGATTAATTTTGACGTACGTTAGATTTCATTTTATTTTCATTTCGGTGAAACGATTTTTCTAGTCGTCCTGGTAAGATTCTCTAGCCGTCAAATTAATGTCACTTTATGTCAGAATTGAGGCTATTTTTCGTTTTCGTATCTAGTTATCCTCGTAATTGAGTGTTTACTGCGCGACAGAAAGTAAATGTCATTAAAACGTCATGGGGAAATGTCACAAGCTGAGTTGTTTCTCCTGAGGACATTTTCATTTCGAAAAATAAAAAGGGGAAACTTTTGCTTCGTCTCCTTTCATTTATGGTTTTTTTTTTCAAATCTAGTTATTTCCATCAACTTAATGTCACGGATGACACCTGACAAGTAATTGTTGTTTATGTGTGACGGTGAATGTCATTGGATATGCGAAAATTACGAAACATGTCACAAGCGGTGGAAATTTTTCGAAATGAGTCACGACGACGATATCGAAAAACTTTTACTTTTTGTATTTACACAGAGGTTTTCCTGTGATGGCCGAAAATAGTCTCCGAGTCGCACATACATACATCTATATATGCAATGAGCAACGGTATGTATGCTAAGAATGTGCCCACCAGCATCAGCCTTGACATCCGACCCGAAAAGTTATCGGAATGTCAGCGAGTCAAGTCATTTTTCATCCGCACGATGTTATTATTTATTATTCAATAGTTTTGCCGAGGCGTAAATACGTTTCCTTCCTCTCTCCCATCGCGTTCACTCAAACCGAACGCCGCATGCATGCATGCAATTTTATTTAAGATATTAATAGCTCATCTCAATGGTAAATCCCCCCAATAACGTCTTCTTTATCATCGAGTTGTTGTCATAAATCCAGGGGGGGTGAGCGAGAATTGCGCAAAGCAAAGACAACTTTATGATTGTGTCACCTAACTCTGTACATTTTCCGAGTATCGTCATGGTGATGATTGTGATGACAGGAGCATTCTTTGATGATAACTTGATACGCGCGGATCTCGGCCTCCCATTTAGAAATTCATCGCGTTATATTTATTGTTGTCAAGTACACGGCCTTCGGGGTTCTAGTAT